TTCACACAATGACTTGTCAGGATAATGCTTTATATGAGAAGTTGTCGAAGAAGTGGTCCGACCAAGATTAGGGCTTTAAGCCAAAACACTTCAGTGTAACACATATTAACAAAGTTTCTGAAAACTTACGGTTTGTAAGTTGAGCATAAGAAAACAAGACGGACAGACGGACATATAAGTTTAATCCAGAAAGCAATTCCCTATCGATCAGTATACTAAAAAGTGCGCCTATCATAAGTCTTCCTGTATATTTCATACATCCACACAAACTTATACCACAACTGCTATAAAATATAAGGAGCTTCCTTCATATCTATTTCTATCTCCTTTATTGATAACTCACAACACTTTATAAAACACTTATTGTAAACATGTATTAAATTTGACAATTGACTCAAAATCTTATTATATTTGCTTACGCATTTTTGTATTTGCAAAATGTATTTTTATATTGAGCCTACAGATGGCATTTCTCATGCAATTTATTTAGACAAAATTTGACGCAATGGGATGTTTTGATCCAAGAGCGAATGCTACTGAACGATGGGTTAAGAACATTGTGATCACTTCCCTTCAAATTTCTACAAAAACCTCTGCACCTCGTAAAATATTAGTTTGGGGAAAAAGAAATCCATTATTTTTCGGTAGATGGCTGCACTGATAGATTTCTCGTAAAGTATCGATCAAACAATTTCAGATTTATGCTCGTTGGAAAGGTGACATTTCGCAGTAAAAAAAATTCTTTTGCTGTTTTTTGTTTGGTGCATTCAGTTGTGAGTTACAGCGTATTAAAAATGGAAGTGAACAAAGAGAAAATTCGGTACATTTTACAGTTTTTCTTTGACAAAGGCGAAAATGCAAGCCAGGCGGCTAAAATTGTGAATGGTGTTTATGGTTCCGATACTGTAACAGCCAATTATGTGCAATTTTGGTTTCGTAGATTCCGTTCAGGAATTTTTTGATGTTAAAGATGCATCTCGCATAGGTAGGCCGGTCGTCGAAAATGTCGATAAAATCGGAGAAATGATCGAAGTTGACCGGCATGTTAGCAGTCGTAACATCGCCCAGGAGCTAAAAATCGACCATAAAACAGTTTTAAACCATTTACACAAAGCTGGATTCAAAAAGAAGCTCGATGTTTGGGTGCCACACTAATTAACAGAAAAAAACATGATGGATCGAATTTCCATCTGCGAAGCCTTGGCCAAACGGAATGAGATAGACCCATTTCTTAAACGGATGGTGACTGGAGATGAAAAATGGATCACATACGATAACGCGAAAACGTGCGAAAACGATCGTGGTCAAAGAGCGGTGAAGCACCTCAAACGGCCAGGAAGGTTTTGCTATGCATTTGGTGGGACTGGAAGGGGATTATTTATTATGAGTTGCTTCCATATGGCCAAACGCTAAATTCTGATCTCTACTGTCAACAACTGGACCGTTTGAAGATAGCGATTGACCAGAAACGGCCAGAATTGGCCAACAGGAGAGGTGTCGTGTTCCACCAGGACAACGCTAGGCCACACACATCTACAGTGACTCGCCAGAAACTGCGGGAGCTTGATTGGGAAGTTTTAATGCATCCGCCATACAGTCCGGACTTGGCACCAAGCGATTATCATCTTTTTCTTGCATTGCAAAATTTCTTTAATGATAAAAAATTGGAATCTAGGGAGAATTGTGAAAATCGACTACTAGAGTTTTTTGCAAATAGAGACCAGGACTTCTATGAGAGAGGCATTTTGAAGTTACTTTTAAAATGGCAACAAATCGTACAACAAAACGGTGCATATTTGACCCAAATCGGACAATCCGAAGCATGTTAAATAAAGTCCTGAAGTTCATATAAAAATAATGGATTTCTTTTTCCCCAAACTAATATTTACAATTTTTACAAAAAAAATTTTTTGGTTTGGTAAAATTTTCCCCATTCATTATGCTCTACACCACTTGTGATGCAGGGTATACTAACCTTACATGGGCATATGTAACATGCAGTAGGGCTTAAGCAACACTCGCCTTTTATTATACCAATCATAAGCTTTTGTCCGTCCGTCCGTCTGATGTCTGTCCATGTAAATTTATGTTCAAATTATAGGTCAAAATTTTGGAGATATCTTGATAAAATTTGGTATATAAAGGACGAACGCTATTGAAAATGGATTGACCATTCCCCATATGATCCCCTATTCTGAAAACTCATTATATGGGAAAAATTGCAACTTTCAAAATTCCTTGACAAAAATGGCTAAGCAATAGTATTTCGGCATTCTAAATTGATATGAAAGCTTTGAACTGGTCGGCTCATTTCTTTGAAATTTGGACCATCTTCGCCTGTTTTTTGAGTCCTACTCTATGTACAGATTTTCATAAAAACTGATTCTTCTTAGGGCAGAAAAGTATTAATTTTAATATGTTATGATGAACTTAACTCATAATAATTTAAGATGCAAAATGCATTGTATGGAAATTGCATCACCCATGCTTATTTTTTGGCCCTAGGTTTTATAAGAATTTTTAGGAAAATTTTTGTTTTTTAGGACAAAAAAGTCTAGGTTTCAATATTTATAAAAACTAAACCTACAAAATCTGGACGATGTACACTTATTAACGGATCCTCCATACTCTGCATAAGGATTTGCACGAAAATTGTTGTCTTTCGAGCAGAAAGTCTACAAATTTCAAATTTCAATATTTTATAATGAAAATTGATCCACAATAGCAGTCTGATATAACAGTGAACTGCGCTGAACACGTACCTTAATTTTTGAACCTCTTGGGCGCACCAATTCTTACGAAAAGTAGGCCGTTATTGCAAAGAGGTTTAATTTGTTGAACAAAGTGAATTGGAGCAATCGTGTATGCCAACGTGAATGAGATTTTGTTCAGGGAACACACACATAACTGACTGGAAACAATGTCTAAGCTGCAAAATAAAGTAAAATTTACTTTGATACGTTGTTTTTTTTTCAATTTTAAAAAGTAGAACAACCCATTGTTCAACGTCTTTCCAAAAGTAGGCATTATACGGGAAGTGGATGAAAAAGTGGCCCGATCCGAACCATTGTAATAGCGTTCGTCCGTGAGTGAAAACACCTAAGTCAAAACATCTCAAAAATTGCGAGTTGTGAGTTGAACACAAGACAAACACAAAGGACGGATGGACAGACTTAAAGCTTAAGTCGATTCAGAAAATGATTCCGAATCGATCGGTACAATAAAATATGGGTGTATCTTAAGGCCTTTTAGCTATTGCGTATGTCCGTACAGACTTAGTACACCCTATACAGCAGTAAGTAGAGCAAAATCATAAAAAAGTTTCACATAACACAAGAGACGGGCGGACAGAGAGACTTAGATCAATTCAAACTTGGATCAATTTATTTCTGAATCGATCGGTGTAATAAAAGATGAATCTATCCTAAGCTCTTCTCGGTATTACCTACGTCCGTATAGATTTAATATACCCTGCACAGCAACAAATAGAGTAAAAACATAAAAAAATTTCGCATAACACGGTTTCGATGCAGCGCGATACGAATTATCCGTATTAAGCGAGCGACGACTGTATGTAAAAAAGATTTTAAAAAGATTTGAGTTAACTAAGATTTGCTAGTTCGTTACGAAATCAAGAATTTTTGTTACAATTTTAGAAAATACTCTCCTTTACATTTATTAAAATTGAATTTTTTGATTTTAGATGATTTTCTACTTTTAAAAAAAAATGCTTTACTGATAAGCATTAAGGAGAAATTGTGTTACAATTAATTCATATTTGAAAAATTTTTCTTATATATAGTGAAAGGAAATTAGCAATTATCAATTTTTTTTTTTTTTTATTTTTTTTTTTACTTTTATGTTTCGAAAGTTTTAACAAGTTTTATACTGTAATTAAGATTAAGTAAGATAAGTGTAAAGCGAATTATTTTGAAAAAAAGACTTACTTATGTTAGGAGGCATTGTTCTATCCGAGTTGATATAAAATAATTATGAGGATGATAATAATGATGATGGTAGTAACTGGACCATGTTTTCAAATGAGACCCCCGAAGGGCTTATGGTAAGACATAAGGCAAGTGTTTGTCCACTTTATGAATTTTGTATAAATGCCGCTTCAAGCAGTCTTTATACTTTGTACGTGTTGGACATAAGGGGCAAAGAAATTTCGGTTCCATATTTGTACATTGGTAGTCCATGTGTCGCTTTAGATGACATTTACGTCCATAGCTTTTTCCGCATGTCTTGCAAAAGTAACGGTATTCATTATTTGTGCATAGAGTAGGTAATAAATCGTTAAATCCTGAGCGGTTAGCTATAATGGAATAAAGAGGAAAAAAACATTATAACAAATATTTTGTTTTATATATTTTTTTTTATATATTTTCTAATTTTTGAATATTAAGTCCATTTCAGAAAATATTATTTTAATAATATCATTAGCAAGCACATACTCTTTTTTATTTTTTTTTTTATTTTCAATTTTGATTTACATTCATTTTTATTTATAAATTATTTTTAAATATATCTTTAATAATAATTTTAAGAAAATTTGTGTTTTTAGTTTAAAGCTAGAGTTTTATTTTTTTTTTTTAATAATTTTTTATTCATTTGTATTATCAGAGTTTTTATAAACGTAAAATATTTCCTTTGTTGATGAAAATTTATCTTCATGAAAGTTTTTATAAAAAAAAATGCATATTTTTCAAAAATTAATTATATTAACTTTTTTTTTTTTAATAATTCATTTTAGAGAAAATTAATTTTAAATCGCGTAGTAAAACATAGTCATTATCGCGGATATCCTTAACAGGTATAGTTCAAGTTTAACGTTTTATCAATGCTTTTCCAAAACTTTTTCTAATTCTATTTTTTTTTCTTTTTGATTTCACTGGTTTATAGAGAAAAAATATTTTTCAAAAAATTATTTTACATTTAATTGCTTTCCTTTTTTTTTTTTTTTGATTTTACACTTAAAACTAAAATTGTGTATTTTTGAATTTCTTTAAATGGAAAATTGGTCATTAGGGTTAAATTTTTATTTTTTATTTTTCTTTAAAATTCTTCTTACTCTCGTTTGCATTCCAAGAATTATATCAATATTGAGTGTTCTTTGCGCATATGCTCATTGAGAAATGGTTGTGAACGATACACACGAGAACACAACGGACAACGATTTGTCTCAAATTGCGATAAACGTTTGGAACTTTGTCTTGGGATTTTGCCGCCACGTTGTCCATAGACAAATGTCTCACTTCGAGCCAATAATTCCTTGGGTATCTTAGGCACTAAACGTTCCATGCATTGGGCTGATGATATGGAAGCTAATTGTTGCAAAGCAATTAAAGCAGTCGGGTTGTTAATCGACATCGTACCTGCAGCATTGCGGCTTATATTTGACGTTGATGCTTCCGCTGCTGAAGTACTACTCGTTTCACCTTCTAAAATATCAGGAGAATACGTTGTAAATATTTCCGAGCTACTGGAGCCATCGTCTGTATCTAAGACCTTTGCATTATCAATTTTAGTTAAAGAAATACTTGGCTGTTGGCTCGGACGTCTTAAGCTGTATTTAACCGTGGCCGTACTGGTAGTAGGGGGACTGGTAGAGTTATCTAAAAATAAAATAATAATAAAAAAAAGAAATGAAAAATAGAAATAAAAATAA